ATGGGCCGGGCGGTACCGCGGTCGCGTTGTCCTGTTGATAGTGGAAACTGTACGGGGGTGGATAGTAGACGGATTGATCCTCCTCGTCGTAATCCGATTGATTATTGGCCGGCGGTGGTACGAAGACAGCTCCGGGCGGTATCGCGTGATAAAAAGGTGGAAAACTGGCAGGTGGTAAAACATCGGATAACTTCTCCTTTCCGCTCAAATTTCCTTCCTCGGACGACCCGTTCCTCGAATCGGACATCGATATCACGCTCCCGTTGGCGATAACCGTGAAAAACGGGTCATCCTCGGATAATAATCCCTTGGTGAGAAACGAATCCTTGCCGTAGTCGACGGTCCCGTTTGGACCGATTTCCTTGGTCCCGTTCGGNGATCTGTATGGGCCCACCTTCCGAGAGTTGTACCGGAAACGGTGGCGGTACCTTCGGTTTGGACGGTATCTTGACCTGCCTCCTGGGCGCCTTGTAATCGTCGATCGGTGGCCAGGTGTGCACGTTGTCCCCGGTGCTGGTCGCCTCGTGGCCGGGAAATTTCCCTCCCCTCAACACGAGCACGTGATTCTCCGCCAGCCAAATCTCTTCCTCGTCGAGGCCACCCAGATTCTCTATCGTGTCCTTGGGCACCTCCGGGTTACCCAGATAGCTGATTATCCCCGGCCGTTTGGGGGAACCTGTCCCGTAGATCTCGTTCTGGATCAAGCCGTATTTACCCTCTTTCACCTGTTGGGAGAGGGTTTTCTTCTCGTCGTCCTCGTCCTTGCGCCCGGCCTTCCCCTCCTTCCCGTTCCCAGACGACGATAAGAGGATGTCGTCGTCCCAGAACGCTGCCTCTTCTTGCTTCGTATCCGTGGCTCTCAAGTGGCCACCGATCAGCCTGTGCGACACTTTCCTACCGACTTCCGTGGTTATCTCGTTCTCTCTGCCGGTCGATGACTTGAAACTATCACTGCCGGCCAACGTCCTTCCCCCTCGATGAACGGCCTCTTCCACGCCGACGTGCCGCCTTTCCCTGCTCGTCGATGATGCGACGATCGAGATGCCGCACGTCGCCAGTAATATCGTTAAGAGGAGCTTTCGCGCGGGAAGTCTTTTTTGCATCATCTGGAACAGGAAATGGAATGATTCTTTACTTCCTATATATACATATATATATATTATATATTTAGAATATTTTCATCTTTGTGATGTGTTATTCTGTGTTCCTCTCTATTTTCGATATCCAACCTCGAAGAAAAAAATTGGTATAATAATGGATAATTGCGGCGATTTAATTTAACGAGAGATTTAATACCATTCACCCTGGCAATCATGCTTGTTTCAAAGCAAACTGGAATCGAGTTATTCGTCGCGAGACATACGGTGACTGCCACCTGGCTCGAGGAAAGTATAAGTTTATTCTGCGGAGGTGTTTCCGTTCCACGGGAGTAACTTTGCTTTCCCCATTGAAACGGCAACATTTTCTCAACTATTGCATGGAAATAATAATTCCCGTTATTAGAAACTGATATATCAGTATAATTTTTTCCTCCGTCCTGTACAAACTTCAATTTATATATATATCAAAATTTTCGATTGGAATTCGTCAATAAAATTTTGTTATTCCTTTTGCTTTTCGAGTAGAAAAATGCTCGTCTTATCTTTCTTCCTATCCCTCGAAAAT